GTGTGTGTGTGTGTGTGTGTGTGTGTGTGTGTGTGTGTGTGTGTGTGCCTGCCTTTTTTGGGGGGGACAAAATGAGGAGAGTTGCACATCCCTATAATGTAAATCCGTACATTTGAGTGTCTCCATGTAAGGAATTTGAGTCAATGTAATGTCCTCTAAAGTGATCCATTGGGGTTAATGAGAGTCAATAGTTTAAACGGAATGAGAATCTTCTACTTTATTCTCAAGTTTAGAACTAAAACAATGAAGGTAAGAACTGAGCGGAGGATAATAGATAAATCTTTGATGATGGAGTATTAACTGTGTATGTGAAGAAAAGGGTATTTCAGTCTGTACTCCTTATTTCCCATGATGCACTTTATAATATACCCATAGGGCTATAAACGCAAAAGAAGAAAAGAAGATCAACTTCACTGTTCTGAATTATAACAATGGCCATGAGGTTTCTGGATGGAAATGAAGCCAGCCGAGTAACAATTCTTTATTTATGCCTCATTTATGTCCAATTCAGTATCTGCGTTTCCTCCCTTTCAGGTTGGCAAAGACTGCTGGCGAGGTAAGTTGTACAGGACTTACAAATGGGTATTATTGAGACTTCTTCATCACTACTCTGCAGAATAAAACCATCTTGAGTCTATAAGAAGGTTTTTATGAAGATTAAAATGAACTTCATTGATCTCAGAGAGGAAATTGTGCCCAGGCAGCTGCAAAGGAGAGATAAAATTACCATTAATAGAAAATATTTAGGATTCTAAATGCATACAGTGACTGTTGGCTAGACATAATTCACCACACATTTCACAGAGTTTTCCTATATTAACAAATTTGCATACTGTATTTTTCCTGCGGTGCAAGACCACATAGGTGTGCAAATACAGAAGAGTGTCAAATTAAATGAAAATTATACTTTTTATGGTGGAACTGGAGATAAAATGCAAACACTGAGCACACTCTCCCCTAATTGCTACTCCCATGTTTAACTGGTCTTAGTTGATATTCATACGTGAACAAAAACTTCACATAATAACGTGAACAATAACCTCACATAATAACCAACGTGATAGCACCCCATAAAATATGACACATGGCCCTCCTGCGTCAAGAAATATATGAACAAATGTCCTCTTATTTTGGTTTGTATCCTCGATATGTTTTGGTTTTTTTTAGCACCCATTGATTTCTGATTCACCAGTGTTTTCTTGTTTTTGCTCTTCTCTTAGGTGAGAGAACATTTTGTGAGTGGTTGAAAGCACTCTTACCGAAAAAATCATCTTATTTTTACAGTCTACAAATTGTTTGAAACATGTTTTAAATTTGAGGACATGAAAATGTTTGTCAATCTCATATAATCAAATCTAGATGGTTTTATGTTTTGGAGTAATTATAATGATTGGATCATTAAATTTGTGGGCTAAAGAAATACTTTTGATCCCAATTGACAATCTACAATGCTTTGGCCATTCAGGCCTTTCAATTTCCAGTAATGCCAGTTACTGACTTTGTTGAAATTTATGTAATAGTACCTTCATTTCACTACTGCTGAAGTTCTTTTTTCAGTCTTCTTTGGTGGCAACTCTTACAATCTTAGGCATGTGCCAGAGTATTTGCACACGGCACAACACCTGCCCTAACATCGTGTTTAGGGGGCGTTACCTATGCTAATAATAAACAATCGGCCACACGCCCCTCTAATTTATGAGCAAGTGGGATTCATCATTCAGCACACCTGGGTAAGAGCAGATTTGGATGCTTAAAAATATTGCATCTAGAGTTGATATAAATTAAGAAAAAATATAAGATACATGTAAGAGAATGTTGCTGCATGAGGCCCAAATCCTAAACAGCACTCTATTGTAGATGAATTTAAAAGTGTAAATGATGATGTAATAATAGATTCCTGTCAGAGAGGTCTTTTCCAAGTGGCGCGAATGAGGCCACATGGATTTGAAGAGGAAGGGATCGGTCTTTAATCACAGTTTGCACTGAAAGCCCAAAACACTATTTAAAGCACCAGTCGAAGGAGTCTCAATCTCACTGCTGACTGGGTTCTCCCGCTGAAAATCTAAGTCAAGGAGCCAGAGAAGACCTGCCTGAAGCTATGACGTGACTCGGTGAACTGTAGCTGTTGCTGTAATCAAGACAAAGGAAATGAGGACACTGTGAATGAGCTGCAGTCAATGAAAAACTATGACTTTGATATTACATTGTTTAATGTTATTTAGGCCTTTAGGGTTAAATTCACATTTTCCAAAAGATGATTATGTTTTCAAGATCATGAAATGATTTCTTCTTTTATGTCAATGTCAAAAGAACATCTTAGCCGACGCTTAACAAAGGCATGAAGTCGCAATTGTGGCTCCATTTGTGGACAAAATGAGAGGATGCTTACTTTGTGAGGGGGTGGAATCACACACAAGCAAGGACAACAATGAAGAAGATTAAAAAGTACACGTTCTCATTACCTGAAATGAGCCAGGTTTGTTGGAGGTGGGCCCTGTAGCGGTTCGATTAATCCTCATCGGTGTTGACTCTTTTATGTTTCCGAGGAATGTCGCACACATTGGTATCCCTCGCTCGGTGTGAGAGGAATACTAATGTGCCAGAGGTGCAGGGGGACAGTGAGGTTCCCCACCAGATGGCATTGAGATTACGAGGACAGCAGGCCAGCATGTGTAATGCAGCACAACCAGTGTGGATGTCTGCTAACATCTCTCACCAGCTCCCCTCAACGTGGGATATCAGGTAATATTTAACATATCCAGTGGCCGTGTTAATACAAGGGGCAATTTGTTTTCCTGTAATGAAATACGATTTGTTTAGTTTTCGGTGACAACTCAGCTCACATGTGAGTACATCAAATTTGTCAGTTCAAGTAGTATCTCTTATTGTACAGCACAACCAAACATAAACACTCCAAAAGCAATGAAATATTAAGCTATTCTGTCTGAGCACCATGCATTGGTGGGACTTCTGCCCAACAGGGAGGAATGTGGTAGACTTGTAAAGTTTTGCCATTTCTATGGCCATTTCTCTAGATATCTCATCTTGAACAAAAATCTTACCTAAAATCTAAAAACAAACTATACCAGCTGTGCTGTCCAGTGTTGAAGGTGAGGTGGCATTCTGTGGGAATATACAGAATATGGAGCTGTCATAAAGTTGCTGGATCCTCTAATATTAAATATTTTTAAATGACTGCATAAGAGCAATGGTTTTAATGTTTTTAGCTGGGCTAGGAGCATGGTTCTTGGGATGGCAGTGTCGGTCGGTATCTCCATCATGAGGTTCACATTTGGTGTTCTGAGGCAAATGTC